AACTTTTCGGTTCAAAAGTCAAAACTCGTTTTTCCATAGGCGGGCTCGAGTAGGCCTGTGGCTTTTTCACTTAATTCTGTCCCGCACGAGGGTGGCCAGTTCGTCTGTCGATTCTACACCGGTGTCCTTTTGCAACATCCCGGTGTAAGATATTTTCGGTCTTCCTCGCCTACTGTATCCGTGGGTTGGTTTCCAGAGAATGACTTTGTGTGTCTCCAGCTGCGAGTGCTGGTAACAGTGGCCTGCTAACTGCACCCGACCGGCTGCGATTTTGTCTCCGACTCGTAGGAGTTAGAGTCCATGTTTCGCATCCATACAGTAGCACTGATCGATGGCTGCTCGATAAGTGTTTGAAATCGGAGTTGCTGTCTCCACCTGCCCGGAGCAAACTGGTTTTAAGGCGCAAGAAACCCACCTTCAGACCTCAAGCCCTCATTTCTAAACGGAGATCGGCAAGTGAAGCCGGGCAGTAGATGTTTGAATTAGGAGAGGCTATTTGAGACGTTGATCATAATTATGGGACATTTCATGGAAGAGGAGTGGCTCAATCCTCTCACTGCCCCGATCATCCTTAGACATTTAGACCCCATTATTTAGTAGCTCATGGATCCATTTTGTCACCTCTTTCATCTGCAGCGTTGTGCACTAATCACGATTGCTAAACTGCTGTGCTACCCCGTCGCAAATTGTGAGTGTTTTCCTGGAAATATTTAGCAAATAACCTCCATAGGGTATCCCAGTAAATAGGCCAAAGATCCATCCCCTGAGCTCATGAATAAAAGTTACACATTCAAATTATTCTATATTTGAGAGCCATGGAATTAGTGGATTGAAGATTATGACATTGTACCTCTGGTCTGCACTTGGGGCTTCCAATTCTGAGCATTGTGGATGCAATTGGGTCCAAAAGTGGCGCTATTTAGCCATGTTGCGGATGGATTCTTTTTTTTTAATGGCTACTCTTACAGTTTGGGAAATATAATTCGTTTGAGGGGGATCCTCTGGAGGGAATCTCAGTGGAGGGAAACTAAAACTGATTATAGACAACCAAAACCGTTTGTTTTTATAGGGGACGTGAGCTCGCCCCCTCTCCCTTCTTCAACAACCACCTACCCTTAGCCCTTACCCTACCCCCACTTCCCCGAAACTGCTGTCCCAAAACTGAACAACCATTAATCTCCAACATCTTCCTTCATCTTAAACCCCCATCCACCCTCGACCCTCAACCGACCCTCAAATCCCACCCATCACCAACCCAAATTCATTTAATATCAAAGCAATTATGATTACAGTTAATTACAGTTTTAACATCAGAATTTGGAAGAAATTGCTGACGAGAGTCAGACAGGTTGTGTGCCATAAACGTCAAAATATGATTCCAACCAAGAGTATATATCAAAATGGTTTTGTGCGTTTACTTCCCTGTGAAATCGATTGACTTTTTCCAAACAAAAGGTTTTGTTTGCAAAAGTGTTTGAAACACTTGAAATAAAGTGTAACAGTAGGATCGGAGTTTAAAATACGGCAGGTAGTTTATTAAATCATCAAAAGCTAGAGTTTTGAATAATATTAAGTTACTTTTTCTAAGTAGTTATATTCGATACATATGACATTATGATTACTTCGTGTTGTAAACACTTTTCTTACAACCAGTTTGTGTATTGTAACTGACAAGCGCTACATTTTTTACGTGATAGTGTCATATTTTTCCAACAAATATTGGCATAAAATCATAAACGGGTATTTGATAAGAATTAAACTCTCGAAGTCAATTTGGCCTAACTTTAATTCAAAAACCACATACTAAAACGTCTGAATTCCAATTAAATTTTTTGAGGCAAAACATAAAGTGTACAGTGAAATCACGATCAGTCAAACTCTGATTACTCAAAACAACTGTTAAGTCAAGCAAAGAATCTATTCCCTTCAGTAGTGTATTAATATACATAGTTGTTTAACTCAAAACTCTGCTGAAGTCAAATGTTGTTCTTGTTCCTTTGAGGTTTGACTTTTAGGACATAAGAATTAAGAATTATTAGAATAAGAACTATTCTGAGTTCATTTTGGTGCAATTCAAATGCAACCTCGTTTAAAAAGAACAATTTGAAGTTTTATAAATGATTTGAAGGCGTGTCAACTATGTTTTATTCCAGAAACACACCTTTTCAAGTGTTTTTGGAAATATTTTTGGAAAATCAATGTTTATTTGTCTGAAGACAAGCTTCTGATGACAATATGCTGGCATTGTTAGCACGGGTGGATCCAGAGGCCGTGATCCTACAACAAAACTTTAAAACCAAAAGAATAAGCAATCCAACCGCTCCAGCACCGTCCGCACTGTTGTAATGCGTATTTGTCGCATTGTGCTTCATGACATTATTAAGTGTAATCAGTGTGGTTGTATTTTGACAAATAAATGTTCAAAAATTACATTGTAACGATAACATTTATTTGATGTTCTTTAACTCGTCTGTTGTCTGTTTATTTAAATCAACACTTGTGTTGAGTTATAAACGCAGAGTAACTGGTAGACAAGCATGTCATTGGATATTGCCCAGTTTAGTTGTGAACAGATTTATATAGAAACAAAACAAGAGTAACAAAATTTAGCTTTTCTTCAAAAGAACCATTTGTATAAGAAAATGCACATTTTGGCCTGTCAAATCGTCATCAATGTCACGAAGAGCCACACATGTGGATTTTGAAAAAAAAAGCGTTTTTGAAATAATCGTAAAAGAAGTTCCTCAATTTTATAACTTCCACAACAACTACTACTTTGAATGTAACACCTTTATGCTGTATGAAAACATGCACATGTTTCTTGAACGGTAAACGTTTATGTAAACCCATTAAACAGATTTAATATAATAGTTAATTAGCCAACACCAATTAGTAAAGATGCCTGTCCCTTTGTAAAAACGAATATCCACGTTTCCTACATTTAGGCCCTTTCTGTTCAACGTGATTTTCCACAGGCAAGAAGTGCGCGTATTACACGCGCAACTGATAATGTAAAAAAGATGTGTGGCTCTTCGTCAAAACGAAAATCTCATTTGACCTGCTTTTACGCCTTTCCGTCCATCTGATTTTTGTTTTGTATGCGTTCAAGGGGCACCTACGTCCGTGTTTCTACGAGATAACACAGAATGCACTAATTTAGATGCCTGTCCAGTGCATCATGAATGTAATTAAGAATTTAATGATGTTTTACTTAAAGAAGCATGTCAAAATGGTTTACAGTACGATGTTTTAAAGCGAAGTAGGGAAAACCTCGAAATCGAAATTTTTTTATTTTTGACATGTGTGGCTCTTCGTAAAAATGGTGACGAAATTATATGTATTTATACGCACTCATTACTTCCGGTTTGATTATGTCCACAGTTAACAAGTGCAAGCTGAATATTGATTTGTTTCAGGGACGATACCTATTGATTCATGACGTGAGGAGAACCTCTAAAAATACAAAACATGACAATGAATGAAGAAGTGTTTGTATTAATAACATATAACTTCTGGTTAAATTACGTCACAGCATTTGGCAGCCGAAGCCCAAATTTGTAACGCAAATCGTTATCGAGCTAGGAACATAGTCATGGATACTGATCAAATAATTGATTGGCATTGAACAAAATTGAAACTAGATAATTTCAAATTCTTTCTACAACAACTTCTGGTCGGATTTTGAAACCTCGCAATGTCAGTTGCTGTTGTCCAAAAAACATCTAGGGACTTTTTATAAACTTAAGACCAGTGATAAAAAAGTCTTTTACGTGCCTCTAGAGGGCGTCCTTTGTGAGGATGACGTCATCGTGGCGTTTTTTGTGTGTTTAGCCTCCCTCACTATACATTTCCATCATTTGATTTTAGTAAAACGCTTCCGTTTTCAAATTACATTTAATTCTCAATGCACTTCCGGTAACACCGGAAGTAAATACCAAGCGATTGAATGTGTTCGGGAATGAGACATGTTTCCCAAGGCATCATGTACATCCACAGCAAAAAAAATGAACAAGGTACACTATTCAGCATATCAGTTCAAACAAATAATGACATAGGTCAAAACTATTTTGTCCAATTTTAATGGCCACTCCCGGCTGGAAGAGACACCGTGGCCGTCCAAGATCATCTTGGTTGGATCAACTCGGACGGCCTATGACTGAATGTGGAATGAGGCTGTAGGACGCGGGCACAGTCGATCGGCGCGACGGACCTATGCTGTCTATGCAGACGAGTGAGTGAGTGAATGACATCATGATGACGTCACCAAGACTTCCACATCTTTTACAGTTGACTAAGGTTCATGTTCGTACCAGGGTTCATGCTCGTAGAAGTTAGTCAGTTTGTTTAGGCTTCTATGTGCATTTTATATTCAGATGACTTTGACCTTCCTGTTTCCCCGGAATTAGAGGTCATGTGACTTTGCATTTTGTAATCAAAATGTTTATCAAATATGATCACAAAGTGTGAACGTGATTGTTCATTTTGTTCATGAGTTATAAAATGATTAAAAATAGTAATACATGCATTTTGAACAAAAATCGCTTGTAATTTGATAGCCAATGACGACATCATGAAGTTAGAGTAATATCACACGCCTGGGATCAGGTTTGAGGTTTGTTCTTAGTTTCACGTTAATGTTGTGTACAGTTAAGAAGCAAATTTGCAAAAAAAAATATTTTCATGGGCAAAAGGACGAAAACATTGATTGAAATTATCTGTAACCGCAAGTATAAGTCTCCGTTTGACAGTTGTTATTATTATTAGGCCTGTTCATAATTGTACTAAGATGGTATAAATGAAATATTCAAGATATTTTCATCAGAATTTTTTTATTCCACAGTGTAAACAAAAACGTTGTCAAAAAGTGTAAGTATTATTTTCAATGTCTATCAATAATATAGCCATTGTTTAAAAGATGTGCGTGTGGGTAAGGCAAAACAAATAATTACAGTATAATTTTGAGACATTCAACTACTATTTCTTTTAATTCAGGTGTTATTGTTTCCGCAAAATGGAATGCAATTTTTAAGTATTCAGCAACACGATGCCCTTATGTATTTATGTGTGGTGATATTTTATTTATTCGGGGTAAATGAGGAAACCACTGAATGAGGTGTCGTGAGAGGAACCACCACCTACCCTGCCACGCATGGTAAGATACACCGTGTCTCCTTGCTGCAGAACCAGCACCGCGCTCCCAGACAGCGACTCATAGTGACTTAAAGCAGTGCTATGGCCAGAGACAACCACGTCGTCGTTCTTCCGGAGCTGGACGTACAGAGTGCTGCTGGAAGGATATTTGTTCATAGAAAACATGAACACGTAGGTGCCCGACACACTACACGTGAATGTGCCAGTCTCGAGATCGAAGCTGGTACCCGGCAATAGCGTTGCGGTCTGCTGGAAGGGCAAACGGGTGTCAATGCTCGTAGACACATCTGGAGCACTATACCTCCTCACGGTGAATGCCACCTGCTGGTTGGAGTCGTCTGGTGTCTCCCCTGGCTCACCCTTTTGACCTTTGACGCCAGTATGACCGGTTGCTCCAACTAACCCTGGTGTACCCCTCGGACCTACCTTGCCGGGCAACCCTATCCCGTCGTCCCCAGGGTTCCCATGTGTTCCCCGCTCACCCATAGGGCCAATTGGTCCAATCTCACCCTCATGACCTGGCTCGCCCTTTGACCCCGGCTGACCGTATGGCCCCATCGGCCCTACAGGTCCAGGCAGACCTGGTATGCCGGGTATAGCAGCAGGTCCCTGGCAGCACATCTGACACACCTGAGAGGCAGGACCATCACCGTCCGAGGGAACCGGCCCAGTAACGGAAGCTCGAAGCTTGATAGAGTTACCTAGTAGTAGGGCGATTGATAAAATTGCCACACAGATCTTCATCTGTAAAGAAAAATAACAATAAAATACGTAAACATGAGAACAAATTAAATGCCGGGAAAATGATCTATGAGAGAAAAAATATTGAAGTCATGCAGACAAACTGGGGAATCACATCTAGGCCTAAGTAAGACTTATGAAAAGTTGCCGTCGTTTGAAAAAGAAATGAATAACCGTGTATGCTTAGTCAAAACTAATCTAATTTGAAAAGCTTCTATTTAACGATCTCACTGAACGAAATTTATTTTGCTAAATGCAGGTGGTTTATTTTGTTTAATGTCTCATCCAAAAGTTAAATTCAGAAATCAGCGCTGATCATTTTTGCTATTAGCATCAACTGCCATCTGTTTCATAACAGATCGAGTCTTAGAAAATCTGTAGGATTTGTAAATATATGTTCCAGCTGTAAAAGAAAACATGATTTTCAAAATATCAAGCCATGGTTGTTTCGAATCTAGGGGGCATGCTGGGTGAAAACCCAGATATTGAGCCCTACATGCAAATATTCACCCAAGAGCTTGTGCTTGAAAAGTTTAAAGCAGACAGCGGAGCAGAAGGGCCATATAATTTCTGCAAACATCATATCTATTCAGGATTTCTACATTCCAGATAGATAAAGCAATTTGAGCTACATTAATACGTTGTGCATCATCATCCAATCATCAAGGTCCAGTTTATTCTATTTACTAACGGGTGACTCTCTTATCATACATTGCTTATAAAAGTAGCCTAATAATAAAACCGGAATTGCGCACTGTGAACTAGTCTTTGTTCCAAGACGTTACTACCTGTGTTTGTGTACGTGTGTAATCATACTACTAATGAACACTTTTGCAAAACAATTGTTTTCAATCAACAGAGGGCGCACTTCAATGCATTACATAAGTGGAAGTAAGAGAACGATTGCGCTATAATCGATACTCGTTGAATAAACACAGTGAATAAGAATCGAATACTTTGCAGAATCGATAACAGATTTGTATCGCGGGTCTAAAGTGCAATATTACTTTCGCGCGGAGAAAAAATATTCAACGAAGGTCTTGGTACCAAGACTAACTGTGAACTAGCAAACTGACACAGTTCAAAAGTGCAAAAGGTATTGCAATCCGACTCATTGGTAACACCAACAAGACAGGTCCGGATTTCCTGCACTCGTTCTTCCATGACCAACTTTGCATCCTAAATTGTTTAGAGTGATTGCTGAAAACATGTTTACATGTACATCACAACATCTGTTTGTGTTTGAAAAGGAAGGGTTTGAATCAACAGAGAAAAAGAAACGAGGTAGAATATACAGTGATGCTTGCTTTGACGGGTTGGAATATACAGGGTCAAGCTTATCCCAAAACAATGTTTTATTACATTGCAAAGAATGACAGTGCGCAAATTTGAATCACCAGGAACCATAATAAATTTTAAACTATTCGTAAATTAGCAGAAAATGTTAAAGAAATGCAGTCAAACCTTAATAGCCATGTTTTGTCAATGAAAAGTACCGTGACTGTGAATCTGTATTGCGCTATTATTGAAACAAGATATCAAGTGAGTTTCTTTTAAAGAATTTACGAACGACGTTTTATGTTATCATTCAATCAAAAAGGCCTATAGATGAACATAAACAAAACGATGAAGTCTCCCACCTCATCACAGCTCTATTGTGACGCTTTATTGCGGTAAATGCCAAGTAACAGACACTAACATTCAAGTAATGTTCTTCAAACCTATCACGAAAGGAATCCTCAACACTCAAGCAGATTGCCGGCTGAAAAAAATAGCAACAACAATAATTTACTAAAAATCCGCTCGGATATAACTCCGGAGGAGGAGGAGGCATAGCTGAATTTCACAAGTAAAACTCTCTCTGTCGGGGCGAACTTAGCCTTACGCCAAGGTCATCGTGGCTTAGAGCGGCGGAGCTGCGAAAGCACGAAGTGACTGGAGCAAAGATTAAGTCAGCACACACGAGTGGCGAAGCCACGAGGCCTTTTCCAATTTGATTTTGTTGAATTATTCATAGTTTTTATGCAAATAAGAAGATGCCGAAAGGTTAACTAATCACAACGCGGATATTGCCTAGTTGCTTCCATTTGTAAAAGAAGGGTGAGTAAGGAAAACGTAAGAGCAACTAATTAAGTTCAGATGAAAAATAAGTTCATAAACTCAAATATTTCTTGAAATACTTTTATAGGTAAAATAAAAATATGATTTCGAGGAAAACTCAACCTCGACCCCAGGGTGTCGAGCAGTACGCTCCCAACACTACCTGCTCTCTCACCCTGGTATTGGATCATTTGCATGTGCAAGATTTTTGAACATGTATGCAAATGAGAAATAGTCTGGTGCCTGCATGTGCGTTACATTATCGTTCGTTTTTGTATGCGGTGTCTGGGGTAAAAACAGAGTCAATTCGTCGCAGCGCGTGCACAGCGTGAGTAAAGAAAAAGCGATTTATTTAATTAAATTGTTACGATCTTATCAAGACAACATGCAGTATCACATTTCATATTAATATGAACAAATTGGAAAAGGAAAGGAATGTTTTTGAGAAGGCGTGGACGAATGATCGTGAAACACGTACTGCACGTTGTGAATAACAACACCAAGTACACGATAAAAGTCCATTACTAGCCAATTGCGATATCGAATCCGGATACAGGAAGAAAGTTTACTATCCAGGGTTTACTATTGGAAACACGGTTGGAAATAAAGTAAGCACTGGGGACGAGGTTGAGGAAAACTAGACTCGCATTGTTTGTTTTTAAATTTTGTGCAAGCATCCGGGGGCGTCGACGCGTCCTGGTAGTAGCCACTAAAAGGATGATGATTGGTTGGAATTTTGCTACCCGTTTGGGGTAGCACAAATCGAGATAATAAAGAAAAACATAAACACATTCTTGCCAAGTTGGAAAAGGCCCTCGTGGCTTCGCCACTTGCGTGTGTGGTCTCCCGCTCCAGTCTCTTCGCGCTTTTCGCCGCTTTGTCTGATGCCGGCAAGTTAAGCCACGATGGATTTGGCGAAAGGCTAGGGCGAACTGTGATTTGGATTGATTATTTCCAGCGAACTATACAACGGCCTGAATGGACTCACGCAAAAGTCTACAAAAATAATTTCTCACAAATAGGATTCTATTCTTTTTTTTATCTTAAAAAAAACAACAACAACTAGAGGTTCGCGTTTGTTGTTACAAACGCAGAGTGGTCGGGCAGGCAATTTTTTTCATAAAAAACTGCCGAGTTAATTTATGAATATGTTTATGCAATAACAAAGGATCACGAAATAAAATCCTTTTCATCACAATGAATCATTTTGCTAAAAAAATTACATCGTTAACGGTGTGATAAATTTCCGTAAACATTTTTTGCACACATACGAGTTATTTCTGGTTTGAAGACGTCATTATTAAAAAAAACGGGAAGTAAAAACTGATTTAGTTCGGAGTAGATAAATGTTTATTGTAAAGATAATTAACGTACGGAAATATGAAAAATATAATTGTATGTTTTTATAACACCTAACTTCCGGTTTGATGACGTCACTAGTATTTGGAAGCAAAAGGTTCACTTTTTTATGGATATCACTATTTGGGCTACGAAGATATACGACATGGATCAAATGATAGCATTCAATTTATAATATGATCGTTTTCAAATTCTCATAGACGTAACTTCCGGTCTGAAGACGTCATGAATTTCAAACCTTGCCAAGTTATCTGTGGTTAATCAAAGAATATCAAGGGGCGATTTGGTAACCGATGGTCTTCAGATTAAAGAAAATAAACACTATTTTATGTGCCGCTAGTGGCGCCCTTTCGGATGAATGACTTCATCACACTGTTTTTTTATGACTTGCATTTCTCACTAAACACTTGCATAATATGTATGTCTGTGGTAAAATGTTTCCGCTTTTGAGTTATATTAAGTTTTTACTGCACTTTCGGTAACACCGGAAGTAAAGGTCAAGCGGTTTTGTGTCCGGGAACAAGAAATGTTTCTTACGGCATAGTCTACAACCTCACGAAAAAAAAACGAACACGATACTCTATTTAGTTCAAAAGATATAACGCAAACTATTTTGTCAAAATTTGCCCTTAAATCGCTTGTAATTTGATACCTGATGACGTCATGATGACGTAACACAATTTATAACATCTTTGTAAAATGGTACAAGTTCACACAAGGTTTTGTGATCATGCCGTGAACCGTTTGGAAGAAATGTTGCTTTGTTTTGATGTCAGGCTAACGTCTTCATTTTGAATTCACCTAACTTTGACCTTCCGGTAGACCCGGAAGTAAAGGTCAAGCGAGTTCACGACAAAAAATGTTAAGCCATTAATGGTCTATCTGATTACAGAGTACAAACATCATTGATTGTTTAGTTCAAGAGTTATAGGTGAAAGTAATTGGTCACTTTTTCAGATAAAATCACTTGTAATTTGACACCTGAGTAATATGCACCACTTCGGATGAGGGTCGATATATATTGAAAGTTACAAGTTCATACCATATACCGTTTTAAGAGAAAACCCGCGGAGAAGAATTGTCCGGAAAAAAAGAAAAAAGAAAGAAAGAACGATTAATCGCAACAATTCCAAAGAGTGGTCGAGTTGTGCCCGACCACTCAACAAGCTGAAGCAGTGCAAGTTTATTTGCAAATGCCTGGAAAAGTAAGTACCGGTTTAATAAACAATTATCATGTTGCGGCCATCGGAATTTGTCCCAGACTGAATTTCAGACCAATACATTGTGCATACATTTTTTTTTCAACATATCTATTATCCTCTAGGCTAAAACTTCAACAGGTTAGTTCTTATATACCCTACTTCAGATTCTATGGAATTTGGTTGCATCTAACAAGATAGCACTGAAAGAAAATGATCTTATATTCCTCTAAAATTGCTTGAATGTCTAGTTGTATGAATCACAATGAGCTCACATTTTCTACATTTTCACACCAAGGAAGTAGTGGCGGCAATGTTACAGGTGGACTACCACAATCAAGTTAC